ACTTCTATGAAAAACAAAGTCCAGTTGCTATTGCATAACCCTTTTTTAGGATAACCATGACCTGGATAACTGAGAATCTCCACAGACATCTGTCATAAATTAAGTTTTTTTTGGGGTGCATTTTGCACCCCCGAAGAAAGTATGCCAGCGATAATTGACGTCAACACTTTTTCTATCATTTTCTGCATGACCGTATGTAAAACTGGTGCACTTACAATGTCCTAGAGGATAACTGCTGTAATTTTAATAACAACATGGTAGTAGCCATAGAAATGGGCATGGGGTGCAGAACGCACCCCAAGGAACCATTGAGGGTTAAGCAAGCATTTGAGGTGTGCTGAGGATAGTTAGGGTTTTTTTTTTTTTGTTACTTATATTAGAGTTTTTACCGTCCGTGCTGTGTATGTATGTTCTTACTTGTGTGTCATAATGTCAAACTATGTCAGATCGTATATTATACTGTATGTGAAGCGCTTTGTGACTTTTTGTCTGTGAAAGGCGCTATATAAATAAACTTTACTTACTTACTTTACTTACTTAAATGGGAGGGTTTGAAGTGTGTATGATGGTCACAACGTCCTGTTTGTACCTTAAATACTAACGTATGTTCCTTGTGGTAGTTACTTGAGTCATTGATTTTGTTAAATTGCTTCCTTATACATGATCAAATCTTATAAGAGAACACTGGAAATTCTTTACATTATACATGGCTCTTTTGTTGACTTTGATAGTTTATCTACTCCTAAGACTGCATCCACAGATATCCAAAAATGTTTTGTGTTTGATTTTGATTTTTTTATTGTTCTAACATATGCTTTGTATGATCATTTGTAAATTCATTAGGCCTACATGTGGAAACAAACCTAGCAGCAAAATTGACAACGTTAACTGCAGTGTCCATTTACAGGACAGTGTTAAAATGGAAAAGATACTTTCCACTTGAACTTTCTGACTATCAGACTATCAATATGCATGAAAAGCAGTGGCAGCTGGTAGTATTTTTTTTTTTTTTTTTGGAGGGGAGGGGGCGCAGTTTTGGGAGACACAAACCGAAACAGCACTTCACAGCTCAGAAAAAGCAAAAAAATAAATAAATAACCACATACACAAACACAAACACACACATAGGTTTGTAATTATATATTTGTGGGGATTCTCCATTAATTTCTATGGGGAAAACTCTAATCCCAATCGTAACCTCTACCCAGCCCTAACCTTAAGTACTGTAACCAAGCAACCTGAAAAATGGTACGTACAAGTCAAAACAACAGGTTTTTATCACATTGTGGAGTACAATTCGTCCCCACAATGTAATATAAACATAATACACACACACAGACGATCACTTGCCGACTGCTGAATTTGCAAATCGACAAGCATATAGCACACACCAGACTGTACCCACATCCAAAACACTCTCCTCTCTAGTTCGACACCGCGCAGTTTACCAAATTGAAAGTTTCTTTTTGGTTACCTTAAGCGTCACACCAGTCTTACACTTCTGTTAAAACACTTCATTCCACTTCAATCCCAGTCCACCCCGCACGCGTGCATAACATTTCATTCCCATGCATTTAATCGAATCCTTAAAATATGCAGATTAGATGCAATCATCATACAGTTCCAAATCGTCAAAGCTCCAAACCGATAGCTCGATGGTGTAAAGGTAGTGTCTGGCCAACCAGTTAACCAGTTATTTAAATATACATAACCTTGTCAACATCCTGAAATTTTTTTTCTTTTGCATTTTCCACTAACACATTTCCACAAAACTTCACATAATTCTATATGACAGTAGCTGAGTTAATATTTTTAGGAAGGATGTATTATGATTCCTGTTTGTCTGATAACGTAGCTCACTTAAGAACAGCTAACGCAAAACAGAATGACAGAAGTTTCTACTGTACCAGACAAGAAAGTTTGTCCTCCAGTACTTCTAAGGTAAGAGAGACCTTTCCTTTGATTACACGGCGGTCAAAATCAACGTGAAAAACCAGGTTCAAATGCTTGGTTGTGCATTTGGACAAGGAAGCGAAGGAGCAGGGATCCATCACCGAGGCCATGTCTTGCCGGCTGCTAAAGAGCCACTTTAACCAGATGTTGCTTTTACAAATTTATGGAAACGGCGACGCCCACTATGGTGCGTTATGGGTATTTTCGTTTTACGTGCAGTTCGAGAATAGTGAGCAAGATCATGCTTTATACTGTACAATGCCACAACCTGTCACTGTAAATCTTTTTCTGTTGTAATATTTACCAAAGTAGTAAAGTACTATCCTGAATAATGTAGACCGGATGCTAACTAGAACATGAGATTTATGCTGAGATAAATAAAGTTTCGCTAATTACATAAACAAACGGTATAACATAATAGTAGTATACACAGTCAGCATAGTTAATGAAAAGTTACTGAGTCGAAAAAAGGAATAAAGAATAAAACTGCCCAAAGTAACATGTAAAGCAGGAAATCAAAGCAGACATTTTGTGATTGGACTGTAATCATACGTGTTTACAGGGGCGTGGAGTTTCAGTCGCCCACCCTATAAATCGGGGATGTCAAACTCCAGTTTTGGAGGGCCAGAGCCCTGTTTAGAATTTAAAATTTAGTGATCAGTTGTCATTGTTGACACACCACAGCACACAGTGCACAACAACGAAATGTGTCCTCTGCCTTTAACCCATATGTGACAATGTGACATAGCAGGGGGCTGCTAATTCAGTGCCCAGGGAACACTGCTTGGGGGCAGTACCTTGCTCAGGGTACATCAGTGGTGCCTTGCTGGTCGGGGATTCGAACCTGCAATCTTTCAATTACAAGTGTAGCTTAGCTCATTCCCTGCTCCACCACAAATGATCTATCTTATGAGCTCTGTGGTAATTAGCACAAGGAGTTGAATCAGGTGTGTTAAATAAAGGTAAACCAAAAACTGTGAAGGGCTCCAGCACTCTAGGACTGGAGTTTGACACCCCTGCTATAAATAAACTCTTGCCTTTATATTACTGTCCCCCCCAATATCGAACATTCTCCAGCGCCATTGCATGCTTATTATCATACGTAGTGCAGAGTCTCCGCAGTTTCAGCAAAACTGTGGTTTATTGAACAGTAAAAGTAATATAATGTAATACAGTGTAGACATACACCAGGTATTGAAAGGCAGCTCAAATACAAATTAAGGATCCAGAGACAAGGACAGGACAGGACAGGACGGAGATTTTCTTTGAGAGCAAATGGTAGCTCAGCCACTTATCTGGCCACTGTCAATTGAATTATCTTCCTTAGCACCCTATTGGGGTCAAATGAAACCCCCATTCTCTCCTTGACTTCCTCCATAATCATAAATTGTTAATACTGTCTGTATTCAAATGATCAACCAAGAACATTGGGGCATCTTCTACTACTTTTCCTTACATAGGCAACACACTCAGGAACACAGAGGACTAGCGACGTTAATGACCAGACTCAGGAAAGACTAACAGGGAAGCACTGAAATACATTGAATCATTAGATAGGACTAGAGACAGCTGGTAACCAGGAGGATTCCACACGAGGTAAACAAGGGGGCGTGGCAAAATGGAGGATCGGTACGATCAGGGCATGACAGATCCCCCTCCCCAAAGGATTGCACACCGGGCACACCCAACAGGACCAGGGGGGTCGGACCAGACACGACGCAGGCAGGACCCATGGACAGACCAGACAACACAAGGAGACAAGAGCAAGAACATCAATGGGAACAACATCGACCCTCAGAATAGGCACAAAGACAGCAATCACGACACCAACCAAAAAACCACGGGGAATGCAGACACACACAAGGGCTCCAAAGCCACAGAACATAGGACCCGGGGGAACTAAAGGAAAAGAAGACACAGGGGGAACACAACCAGGGAACAGACCAACAGGAGGGGCAAACGCACCATGGGGCACAAAACCAGGGGAAACACTCACGAGAGAAACAAAACCAGTAGGGGGCACACTGGCCGGGGGGGGGGGGCAAGGAACCAGGAAGGAACAGAGGCAGAACAGACAGACGCAGAGCAAACACAGGGGGCACACCGACAGGGGGAACAGAACCAGGGGGCAGAATACCAAAAGGGGTAAAACCAGGGGGCAAAGAGGCAAAGGGCGGGGGGAGCCACCGGAGGATACGAGGAGGGAGTAGGAGGGACCACAGGGTGGCTTTATTGCACCTGTACCAGTCACACTCACAACATACTCGCTCTGCCCACCATGCCCATCGCTGGCTTACTCCTATGCATGGTGGGCACACACACACACAGACAGGCTATAAACAACAATAAAACACTGCACATTAAACACTACATGTAACATTACAGTACAACATAAGACATTACAGTGCATAGCGATCACAGCAAACTATTTACAGCTCAAACTGCCACGCTGCCCCGCTGTCCCTCCAGTGCTACACTGCCCCCCCCCCCCTTTAGGGGGTTAACTCTCCCAGAAACTCTACACAGTCCTGAAGACGCTCCATGCAGCAGCAACTCCTTTGCGGCTGCAGGCCTCCCAAGTCTCCCACTGCCCTGATCAGTCCCTGCTGCTAGGGTATTCACCACTGGTCCTGGTGATGGCTGCTCCAAGTGGGCCAGGGGCTGGTATGGAGCCAGGCTGTTAAGGGTGCAACACTACAGTCCTGTGCCACTCTGGCATCCGCCCCCGGTAAACCACTTCAGAGACCCACTCCAGGACCTCCCCTGGACCCTTCCAGTGGCTGTTGAGCTTGGGTGACTGCCCGTCTTCCTGATGTAGCAGTACACCCAAATAGAGTCCTTAGGCTAGAAGGCCTGTCCTCGACAAAGGACGTCATATACTTTCTTCTGCCCAGCCGTGGACACATCCTGATGATCCCTGGGCAGCTCCGTCTGCACATAATCCCAGAGATGGTGCAGGTAGTACAATCCCGATGTCGCTGGCAGCTCCACACAGCCGCACATTTGCTCCTCTGGGGTCCACAGCTCAAGGCCAAACATGTGGGTGGTGAGGGTGCAGCCGGTGCTCTCCTGCACCGCTGCGTGATACATCCACAGGACCACGGGAAGGTAGGTGTCCCAATTGCGCTGTTTGTCTACGATCACCAGCTGTGCGGCCAGGGTACGGTAGAACCGCTCCACCACCCTGTCGCTCTGAGGGTGAAGGGGGGTGGGCGGGTATCTTCGCAGTCCCCAGCCTCTGGCAGACCTTGCCGAACACCTGTCATTATTCATTATTATTCATTAAGCCCTTTGCTCTTCTTGGGTGCATAGGCCGTTGACGAATATCCTCCATTTCACTCTATCGATGGCTTTTTTCTCGAGTTCTCCCAAGTTGAGCCCACTCTTGGACATTTCTGCCTCTACACTTCTTCTCCAATTGTTCCTGGGATGGCCTCGTTTTCTTTTCCCTTGGGGGTTCCATTTCAGGGCTTAACAGGTAATATTTGTGGCAGGTTTTCTGAGGGTGTGACCAATCCAACTCCATTTTCTCTTCCGGATTTGTAAATTCATGGGGTCTTGACTTGTTCTTTTCCACAAGTCCACATTGTTCACTTTGTCTTTCCACCAAATGTTTAGTATCCTTCTTAGGCATGTGTTGATGAATGTTTGCAGTCTGTGTGTTGTGTGTTTTGTAGTTCTCCATGTTTCAGATCCATACAGCATCACCTGTTTCACGTTGGAGCTAAAGATGCGTATCTTAGTGTTGGTGGAGATGTTTTTTGAGCTCCAGATCTTTCTGAGCATGTTAAACATCACTCTAGCCTTGTTGATTCTGCTTCTGATGTCTGCATCCGTCCCTCCGGTTGTATCCACAACACTGCCTAGGTAGGTTAAAGCTCCTACCTATTCTAGGACAGTGTGCCGAACACCTGTGCCTTGAAGTTTCTCCCCTGATCACTAGTCAGGGGCCCCGAACCTGCAAAAAATCTCCTCAGGCAGTTTAATTGCTGTGGTAGTGGCGTTCAGAACCGCATACACCTCGGAACACTTCGTAAAATAGTCCATAGCTAAGAGTATGTAGCAGTTCCCGGCCTTGGTGCAGGGGAAGGGACCTAGGAAACTCATCTCCACACGCTCCATGGGGGCGCCCACCAGAGATGGATGTAGGGGAGCCCGGGACTGCCGGCTAGAACCCTTCTGAGCCGTGCATGCATTCCAACAGTGCATGAATAGCTCAGTGTCCTGCTAGCAGATGGGTCAATAGAATCACTGCCTCAGTTTTCCGAGCATCTTTTTCACCCAGATGTGCCCAGCCCTGATGACCCCATGTACTGACCTTAACATGGCAGGACGCAGGCACCAGGTCACCAGCATCTGCAGCAGCTCCCCTTTGCTGTCTGGCGATCACCAGCACCATTACAGCAGCCCCTGGGAGAGGTAGGCCTTGGTTTTCAGGCCAGAGGCTAAGATCACCTCTTAGCCTGGTCGCCTGCCCTCTCCCAGCTGATCCCTTACCCTGGATAGCACGGGATCACTGAGTTGGCAATTGAAACCCTGATGGGCGTGGCTGTCCAGTGTGGTGAGAGCGGTAGCTACGGTCATGGTGAGCTGATCCCACTCTTCCACCTGGCAGCAACAGAGGCAGCTCTCTGTGGTGAAGGGCCGGCGAGACAGAGCATGCGTGCTCCCATGCAGCTTCCCGGCACGATGTTGGACTTAGAAATCAAACTCCGGCAGTACCTCTAACCAGCAGGTCAGCTGTCCGTCAGGGCTGCAGAAGTTAAGGAGCCATGCTAGCGACACGTAGTCTGTCCACAACCGGAACCACTGGCCACAGAGTTAGGGATGGAAGTGTTTGCATGCCTGCACTATGGCCAGCAGTTCCCATCGGGTCATGCAGTAGTTGTGCTCCTGTTAGGTAAGTGTGCAACTGAAGTATGCAACCACGCGCTCCTCTTTGGGTCCTGCCTGCAATAGCACAGTGTCCAGCCCCTTGTTGTTAGCATCTGTGTCCAAAATGAAAGAAAGACATGGGTCCAGGTAAGCTAGCACGGAGGCATTGGCGAGCACTGCGTGAAGCTGGTTAAAAGCTGCAGCACAGGCTTCCAACCACATGAAACTGTGTCCCTTCTCTGTAAGATGGTGCAACGGTTTTGCAATGTTGCCAAAGTCATTAGCAAAGCACCAGTAGCCCCAAGATGCAGCATCGCTCTGTCACATTGCATGGGGTACACCAGCCCCACACCGCTAACATCTCTCTTTTTCTTTGCTCCGTCGTTTGTTGCTTCCCCAGGGGCAGTCTATGTCGGTGCAGGCAAATGGGCGGGGCATCCCCCATGTTATTGCAGTGGTGCACCAGGGAAGTGGGTCAGCAATCCTTGTCCCTGGCAGCGAAGATATCATGGAACGAGCCCAGTAGAGCTTTGAGCTTGTCCTGTTGCTCCGCCATCAGGTCTTGACTGCCACGCTGCCACATTTCCTATACAGCAGTATGTCTCTTCCACCAGACAGCTGACATATAAGCCAGTATTCTCGCTGAGTCAGCCCACTCTGGGAGTAGCTGTTGGGGTTGGACTGGCATGTGTTGCGGGTGGCACCCCCCTCACAGTTCCACCTGCCCGGTGTTTCCTGGCTGTTGTTCAGGATGTGAGCGAGGTGCTCAAGCAGGGCAGTTGCGTGCAAAGTAGCCAACCTCAATGCAGGAGTAACAAGGAGCGGTGGCTGTCGGGCGACTTCGCTGCCGTGGTTCTGTGTGAGTCGCACGCATGGTCTGTCCTACTTTGCTGTCAGAGCCCCCAGGTGCACAGGTGCTGGTTCGGCATGGGGTGACTGGCGATCGGTGTTATGCTGCAGGTGGGGTCAGGATTGCTTTGACCCACTCAGCCTCTGCCATGGCCTGGTGCCCATAGCTGGATGTGTTGACAATCACTCTGGTGATAGAGCCTTAAGAAAGGCTTGGAGAGCCAGTGCTTCATGTGCTTCCCCGGGTATTGTGGGTAGCTCCTCCTTTCAAGGATGTGGAAGTCCGCCACAAGCACCCCCAGGGTTTTGCTGTCCCGTCTTCACCGGTTGGCCAGTTCTTCCCGCTCCACCTCCACCGAGCTCCAGCGCCTCCACCAGGGCAGTGAATTTTTCTGCTCGTCAGGGCCCCAGCTGAGGACAGCCTGGAGCACTTCCCCCTCCAGTGCCAGCACTCAGCAGGGGGGCTTCTGCTTGCTCTGCCCAGTGGGGGCATGAGTGGGTTGTGCTGGATCCATTGGGTTGCCTCAAGAAGATATACTGCTCGTTTCCCAGGGTTCCCATTCCGCTGAACGATTATCCCCGCTACTCTAGGAAGTCATCGGGTCATTGTAGGAAGTGGTTGTAACCTTCCTACAATCTAACATCATTGTAATGGTAGGTTGCCTAGCTATGCTGCTCTGCTTGTTGTCCAGAAATGACACTTGGACAGTTCTGGGTTCTCCCAGAGGGTGGCTTTATTGCACCCATACCAGTCACACTCACAACACACTCCCGCTACCCACTATGCCCATCACCTCGCTTACTCCTAACATGCACGTTGGACACACACACACACTATAAACAACAATAAACACTACAAGCAACATTACAGTATAACACAAAGCATTACAGTGCATAGCGATCACAGCAAACTATTTACATGGTTGGCACCAGTCCAAACTGCCCCATGGTTCCTCCAGCGATACACTATAATTTCTTGCTGACCCTACACTTATGGAGAACATTGGTTATTTGTGTTGTTCAGGACAGATTTGATCTCGATCACAGTACTGAACCATCCAAGAGTGAATTAGTTTGCACTGTTTACAACTGAAATAATCTCTTCCACCATCCAATGATGTAATACTGTAAAGATGTCTGAAAAATTCAGCATACAGTATGCAATTGTCATGCCCCAATCGTCCTGATCCTCCCGTGTGCCACGCCCCCTCTGTACCTCGTGTGGAATCCCATGTTCCCAGAATGACCGGACTCGAAAAAAAGATGCCTCTTCTGACCGAGGAGGACGACCTCGGTGGGGCTGGTTCTAGACATGCATATACTCTCACTTTTTCTGAGAGTAAAGGAGATGCTGGCTGGGCTTACCCCCGACTCAGACCCACAGGAGGTGCAGTTCATTAAAAACAGGGAGGAAACAAGAGGACTAGGCAGACATGAAGGGCAGGACATGACACTATTACATATAGGATATATAGGATCACACATGCACATATCACAGAGCTTAAATTCCAGGTGGCCTGAGACCAGGGCCTAGCCTGGTATGAGAGGTACACATTGGCCTAGGCAGCAAAGGGGGGTTAGTGACCCCACACACATAAACACACTTAAACACACACACACACACACACACAGATAACAAGGGAGGCCAGCACTCCAACTTTTATTGCACAAAGGTTTAGGGACCTACAGACAGCAGAGTGGACCTCACAGACAGGGGTCCCTCGACTTGGCACACAACCCCCTCCCCAGACATCCTGCCTTGCATACCACTCAGCCAACAGACCAACACCCTAAAGAAAGTATCTTTTACGTTTGGCTTTTGTATACCCTGTATATTGATTTACTCATGACTACTAGTCTCAATATACAGATAGGTTATGTTTGTATATGTCCTTAGACAATCTTAGTGTTTTGTGTGCCACCCTTATAACCATGTTCACGGAGTATCACCTATTTTACCCCTTTACACTTGAACACTTATATAAATTTGAATAAATAAATAAGTATTAGCTACCACTGCATATATGTTCTCATGGTTATTATACCAGAAGAAAAATTAAATAGTGTAACCAGTGTGTCCTAACTTTCAGAGAGTCTTCTTTCTTTGTTTAACAACCCGCCCCCCCCCCTTTTTTCCCTCCACATTCCTTTGTGGTCCTTATCTGATCTTGGTGGTACGTTAGCAAGCTTTCTGTGTTCTACCATACTATATTAAAAGAACTGAATTAAGGTGTACATTATCCATTCTGGAGAAGATCAATTGGGATAAGCCAAGCCAACCACAATATGTTGTTTCCAGATGTGCAACTTAAATTAGTATTACCACGAACTAACGGCCACGCCTATGTAAGGATAAGATGTGCTGTTTTAATGT